AGATAAGGGGACAGTTGGCTACTGAAATATTACCAAAAATATATCGTCAGTGGTAACCTAATGTCACAGTATTTCTTTATTTTGAATTTGAATAACACGTTGAAAATATATACATAATAAATTACATTTAAATAATAAATAATGAAAATCAAAAGGTGTAATTAATTATCTAGCTAAAAACGATCCTCATATAAACCATGATATCCCAAATAATAATAATAATATTTAGTTCATTTTCCCTGCTATGTACTTCATACAGAGTAGAATGAGTGGACAAACAATCGTTTATGAGGTATGTAACATAACTAATTTCTACAAAATAATTATAATTTATATATCGTTCATGTACAGAATATCCTTTACTGAATACCTGAACATAATTATTTGTAAAATATACAGCTAGAGTATTATGAAACCACAAAATTAATAAATTAGGAACATATAAGACATCACTAATATGTCATTAACATAACACTCGTTTGTGAGGGCGATTTGAGTGCGACGCATTGAAGTAGAATTGTTTATGAATACGAATAGTTTAGTATGAGATATGATCTATGAATTTGGGCCTTAATACCTAAATCAACGTTATATGAAGTCAACTAAATAATACGTAACTCACATAGGCTTAAAAAATGAGTATTAGAATGATAGGAAGTAATGTGGAATTCTGTTCCACATTGGAAAGTTATATATCATAAAATTATGTTATTCCTTATTAGCAGTTACTTTTTTTATTTGGAAAATAAGGAAGCTCCTACATTACCTACTATAGAGATCACGCTAATATAATTTTACACATTTTTACTTACGCTTCTAAAGAGAGACATTTATTTAAAACATCAACAGCTGAAGAATAAGAAGGCACGAACCAAAACTTTTGACATCAACTGATTGTTGCTTTAGAAGCCCTCATAAATCCATTGCATTGTAGAATAAAAAACAAATTGTATTACGCAATTACTATTTTTCTCTCAAATGTGGTATCCCTCAAGGTCCTGACTATTCCATAATACCGTTCTTTACTCTATGAGCAATTTATTGCTTATTTTCTATTCTAGACCTACGTAATACTTTTTCCACATTTTGTAGCGACATAAATATGTAATAAACCTGTCAGCTGGCCATAACAATATTTCCTTATTTTTGTCGTTAAATTCGTTGTTAATATTACCTTCAAAACTGCAGACATCCGTGTATAAGCATACTTATATAATATTCAGAAATAACTAATAACCGTGTCATTCCAGTGACTCGTTATATTCGAATTCTTTCCGACGCCACTTTCTCCTCACTTTCTTGCAACCTTGGACATCTGCTAACGTCTTCGCCATCCTTCGTCAGACTGGCTAAGCTCACGTTGCACCATAACCAGCTTGAGTTTGCATATATTTGCATTAGTGAAAATTTAAAATAAATTAAGCAATATCTATGGTAACAGGTTTTAGATAGGAATTATTAATTTGTATAAATAATTATACAGGTCTTACATTACATTTAATATACAGGGTGTTTGGAAAAGTTGGTACAAAATTTAAGGTGGTGAAAGTAGAGCCAAAGGTAGTAAAATGGCCCGCCAAAGGAGTCTTATCATTTGGATATTTTTTAAAATAACTTTCTTTCTGATTGAAATAATGGAATGAAAATTATAGGTAATAATCATACCATAAGGGTATTTAAGTATCTTAAGTTTCATCAAAATCGGTTATAAATATGAATAGTTTTCTAACTACCCTTAACAGAAAGTTTTCGAATTTTTTTTATTCCTTTGACATTTTTGAAAAAAGAGTCCCTACTTTTTTTTCGAATTCTACGTAGTTTAGTCAGAAATAATTGTTTTTAAATAATGTATGGCTCAGAACAGTAACTTTTTTAATGATTGTCACTTTCGCGTGCTATCATTTACATTCTTACGTTTCTTAGTTGTGATCTTCGTGCTTGACTCTGCACTTCATTCGATTTTTTTGCAACCATATGAACCCTCATGGTTTTACTAACCGTGAATATGCCGATATGCATTTTATTTATGGTTTCTGTAATGAAAATAGCCTGGCGGCTCAGAAAGAGTATCGGCAACGTTTCCCTGATAGAAGGCAACCTTCTGGAAGATTTCTTGGGAAAATTCATGCAAGAATGATGGAAATAGGAGCCCTAACTCCAAGATATCGTGAATGTGGTCGTCCAAGGAGGCGTAGGCATGATTTAGACGAAGTAATTTTAGGATTTTTTTACGTAATCCTACTGCGAGTGTAAGAAGAGCCTCTATTCATGATGGTTCATGGTTGTAAAAAATTAGAGTAAAATGCAGTCAAGCACAAGTTTTACAATTAAGAAGATAAAGAAACGGAAGAATTTAAACAATAGCACGCGATAATGATAATCATTAGTATCATTAGAACAAAACTGTCACCATGAAAGATGCCTAGAATGTGAAAATGTTAAAAAAAGTTACTGTTCTGATCCATATATTATTTAAAAAATCATTATTTCTGACTAAACTACGCAGAATTCGATAAAAAAGTAGGGACATTTTTTCTTCAAAAAAGTGTAACTCATTAAAAAATAATATTATTTGCTTGATAATTCAAAGAAATAAAAACAATTCGAAAAATTTCTGTTAAGGGTACCTAGTTAGAAAACTATCCTTATTTATAACCGATTTTGATGAAACTTAAGACCCTTATGGTATGATATTACCTACAATTTTCATTCCATTATCTTAATCAGAAAGAAAGACTCCTTTGAAGGACCATATCTCAGTAACGGTGATCCGGAGGTCCAATGTTTATAGCAACTTTTTTTACAACTTTTGGTTTTACCTTCACCTCCTTAAATTTTGTACCAATTTTTCCAAACACCCTGTACTTATATTATACAGAGTGTAACAACGATGTTGCATCAGTCTTCTAGGACAAATTCCTCTCATTAAAATAAATAAAAAATCAAAAGTAAAATTGTTCCTAAACGACACCTAAACCTCTATGATCCTTCAAGGATTCGAAATGAAACACAGTTTTTCATCATGCAGTATCCTCACAACAAACTAATCAAAGATGTCGAAATTCTCCAACAAATAGCAGAATTCCGCAGTCGCACGTTGTTCCAATTTTTCCAAAATCCAAAATTCACGAACAAGAGAGAGGAGGCCTAATAAAAATAATTGTCACGTGGCACTACGACTCACTTCCCTGCAAGAAGCATCCAGCGGCACAAGCATATACTACGGCGGACTTGCACACCAGAAAACAATTCGAGTAACTTTTCCGGTAACTTCGTTAAGCAAAAATTACTGCTGATTGTTTTGTTGTCTTATATCAGGGAACACATTTTGCTTCAAAAGTTTGTCTAAACATGTGTTTAAAATATTAATTTTTTCAGAATATTCAATTCCATCTTTACTGATGAGTTTCTCATGGCGGTTTAACTGACTCGTATACATTTATGTCGTCATTAAGAATATTTTTATTAAAAAAAGTAGAATTAAACTTTCTAAGGCTAAAGAAGTCAAGTTTTTTTGTCAATGATTTTACGAGTAGTATTTTTGGAAGAAACCTTTAACATAAGACGTTTCTGCAGCGTCTGAGTAACTGTCAAATATTTAAATGCATTTTCTTATGGGTTACTGGAATTTTATTGGAATTACTTCACATCAGTGTTACAGTGGCTGTAAATCAAGGTTGTAATTGACATTTAGGATTTTTTCAAAGATAATCTCAAATCTGTGAAACAAGATTCTCTGCGACGTCAACGTTGACAATTGGAACCATTTAGACTTCTAAAGATGACACTGATCATAGTTACTGTATAAACGGTAGAGCTTGTCAGTCCAATATTATACTTGGCATTGATTTTTCGAAAACTATGACAGGTCCTGCTAGAGAATTTCTTCAAGTTTTCAAAATTGCCCTTGGATTTAATGTGCAATAATTTCATGCAGATATATCGATGATTAAATTCAAAAGTGTTATTTTTCATTCAACCATCGGTATCTCGGCAACCAATAACCGCACAGAGACCTTTCAAAAATCAAATTGAAGCGGAATAAATATCTAAACTATCTGATTGATAGAATTCGAAAAAACTGTCCAATGTCCATAGACAGTCCTAAAAAAATTAGAAAATTTTTTCTCGAGGTATTTGATTGCTCGATAATCGTAGCTCAAAAAATTATTTGTCTAAAGATCTCGATACGACCATTTTTCACTGTGATACAGCCTTTCCAAAATCACTAAAATATTATGAAAATGTTCCGTTCCTTTAATTCTTTCCAATAGTGTAGATACAGTAATATCTACATATAATAACATTATCTTTCATGATCTTAAATAGAGCTATTAAGAAATATTATATTTATTGTATTCATACTTTCACTTTAATAATTTAATTGAACCGTTTAATTATTGTAATAATTATTATATGTTTATAACCAATTATAAAATTTCTTGTAATTTTTCTATACTATACAATTGTATAACGCAAAGAAATATTTTCATTTTTGTTTTCCTAACACTTTTATAAGTTATTCTCGAATATATAGACTGCTGTTGTGTTATGTAGAATTTATAATCATGTTCATTTAGATCTAAGTAAATTTTGTTCTAATAAGTATAATTAGAGTATAGTGTAATAATACTTACGTATGTAACTATGTAGATCTGTAATTCGTGTTCAGTATAACATTACTAACAAAGTAGTACATGTCTAGATTGGAAAACAGCGTAACATACATATAGTTGGCCTTAAAATATATTTTTTAATATTTTTTCAGTCAAAATTTATATTGATGGTTATATATATACACACCGTCCTTTTCAATTATTTATGCTTTATTACTGTCTATTAACTGAATATTTATGTAGGTATCTGTTAAAATGTTGAGTAGATATAATTTATTTAACAATTATTAGATACATATAGTATTGTTACTAGTTTTAATAACAACTTTAATTATAAATTTGTTTTATTGTTATTGTTTTATATTCATGTTTGTATTTAAACAGCTAGGAGGAACCAGTTCAAACGCTAGTGGAGGGGGCATAGGTGGTTTAACGAATATATTATCTACTATTGATTTGCCGGGTCTGTTGAGAGGAGTGAACAGTTTTGTTAAATTAGTTGGAGTTTTCTGTCCACCTTTGTCACAGGTAATTATCAACTTGCCAGAAATACTTGCTGTTCTAGTCTGGCTTAGGCATTTGTTTGAATGGGTTTTATTTGTTACAACTTTTTTCATTTTAATAGAAGGTTGGTCTAAATGTATTTCGATCAAGTAAGCCCTAAGTAGTATATGTCAAATTTACAATTTATACAATCCAGTCTGCTGAAACTTGTTAAATAAGTGTTTTTGAATTTTCTAATGTATTGACTTTTTCATCAATTATTTACAGTAGGTGAAATAATAACTATTTTTTATTAGGGTGCAATATTATTTGAATTTACTTAACATTTTATACAACTCAAGATGTGTTCAGTCAGCAAATTTATTATCATCTTTAAGTTTTTGCTATAAAATCACTCAGGGATTATTTCCTTCATTTTATTTCATTAATGTTACTTCCTTAAAGTAACCGGAAGTAAGCATGTGCATGATTGTATGGTGCCAATATAAAAAAGAAAAAATTACTACAAACTATAGGCTTTTTATTTTGTTTTTGTCACAAATTCTTAAGCATCTGTATAAATAATATTTAACGACAATTTTATTTCCTTAAATTTAAAAATAAGTAAAAATTTGTTGAGGATTAATTTTTAACTGAATGCACCCTTAATTAATTATATTTCATAACAGGAATTTTGTTTGTATTAACCGTATCTTACATTGACAAGATTATTACAAAATTCTTATTTTTTCGTAATTTTTTAACAATTTGCACCATGTTACTGACATTAAAATAATGTCAGTCATTAACCTTAATATAGCACGTGCTTGTCGAATAAAACATAACGAAGTAAAAGTCATGTTGAGGTAATTTCCAACTTAATAGGTTTCGCTTGCATAGCGTAATAAGACACCAATCGCGATATACGTATACTTACTACAATTAAAAAAAAACTTTTACAGAAGCTATGATTGTGAACCAAATTACCGTTTTTAATGCGTTCTACAGTTAACTTTTTCTGACAATAAAAAGTGTTTGTCATAGTATGACCACCATTCTGTTAACTGTTCTACTATAAATCTGATAAAAAAACTGCAACCTTTGTTTAAATAAATTCTTCACAGTTTCCAGTTAATTGTTTAGGATGTTTCTATTTTGGAATCATTTTTAAAGAAAAATAATTGAATACTGATTCACTTTACCTAACAACAAAGTACGAACTTATTGGGAACTGCTGAAGATGAGAAGGAATGACACATATAATACATCACATGATACACACAGTAAATGTTCGACGTTACCATCCCTTTTATTAACATACAAACAAGCCCATATTAATTACTCACACACATTTACAAAAATATCCTGCAGTTGTCGCGATGCATCTTCAGTCCAGAGTAATTATCAACTTATTCTGTTATAAAGCACTTGCTTACCAATCTTATATCTTAATATAGTGTTACACTACTAGAGTAATAAGATAGGGATCCATTTTATATAAATATTACATTTCACTTACGTCGAAAGGTGCTTCGTTCCCCAACAGCAAATATTACCAGCACGTGGTACATGGTGAAACAGAAAACCATTCGCATACGTTCATTTTGTAGCTACAGCGTTTTGTCTACGTTCACCGGATATCAATCGCACACACCGTAATCGTACTTACTCGCTAAAATGCAGCAATTATACTCGCGACTATTTACCTCTTTTTATGTAGTATGTAAGTTGGGAACGACTCCAGAGGTTCCCAATAAGTTTAAACTTTATTAGAAACTTCAATTTTATAAACAGTCTGTATATGTTCGACATCAATTATTCTGTGTAGTTGTTTAACCAACACTTTTTATTTATTTACAAGACGCCTCAGAGCAATTGATATTTTCCTTTTTTTAATAGCTCAGGCAGAAGAAAGTGAAGATATTTAAAACTAAAATTTTAATCTTAATATAAAAATTTAGATTGTAAACATAATCTGACAGAAACATCAATTATAACTTTTTATTTGATTATATTACCCATCGTCAATTCACCCATCGTCAACTGACCCATTTTAACCCAACTTGCTGTGTTTAAAAGTAATAGTAAAATTATCAAGAACTAGCGCAATACAATTATTCTAAAACGTAAAAATGGTGCAGTTTTGCACCGAATATATCCTGTTTACACATTTTAAACACCAATTCACTTATAGGTCCTGGACAATGTAATACAAAACGTCACTAGCACAGCCTTTAGAGTATTTGGTTCAGCAATCCTTCGGAGCGGCGGCCTTGGAGGTGGAAGTAGCGGGGGAGGAGGACAACGTGTCAATGTAGTGCTTCCAACGTACCCACCAGACGAAGACGAAGACGAAAATGACGATACCAGCGACGATGATTCTTCTGACACTTTCAACGCCGAATTATTGGGCAGAAGCGGAGGTCAAAGCACCACTGAAGCTGAGAAGAATTCTGAACCTCTAGTTTTAAGTAGAGGAAGTAGTTCTGATTCCGAGACCACCACAACCTCAAATTTAGAAGATGCAGGCGATTTAGACGGTGCAACTACACCAAAAAGTGATAATACTGACGAGACCGATAAACCAACCACACTGTACACTGTGAGATTTACTAAATTTGACTAGAATTTGCGGGTAGAATTTGTGTGTATCTTGCTTTAATACTCGCAAGAGAAAATTGTGTACAATTTAAAAGTGATTAATTACAGTAAATTATCCTGCATACATCATTTAAAAACGTTGCATTTTTTCATTATTCTAACATTTCCCATCTTTCATTTTCATGGTCTGATATTTATTTTCTATTTAAGTCAGAGAAACAATATTACTTTTATTATATTCAACCAAAATTGTCAATCGTCAATTGTTCTTCTTCATTTTATTGTTTTTTAACATTTGACGAAAAAATATCAACAATATTTTCGCTTTGAAGATTTAAAGAAACTGAAGACATATTCTTACAGATTTTGTACATATGTCAGATAAAAAACTAATAAAAATAATCACTTTTAAGAGTACCCACTCTAAGTTTTTAACAAACATAACACTCTGCATCTACATACAAGATATCTCGTCTGTATACCAACGAGACCCATCTAGGTTTCTTGAGAAAATGGAGACCCTACAGTCCTCTTTTGTATACAAAGGGACATTTTCCCGTAGTGTTAGTTTCTACATCTCGTTTGGACTTAACGAAGACGTAACTTAATGTTAGCTTCAATATGTAGTTACCCATAAAAATTGTGCAAATTTGAAGATGAGCTGAATCTTTGCACCATTATTTCTGGGTAACTTTTAACATAAGTTATTAACAACTTCTTCTATACTCTGTAAAACTATTAATATTTTTTGCTTTCCTGTTATGTAATTGGCATGTTTACATCGTTTTATAACTATGTGTGAATCATATCCTTAACCAAAACATTAGCACTACACAAATCTTAAATATAATAAACAATTCGCTCTATTTTACTTTATAAACACAACAAGGAAAAGGTAAAAATTGTTGCCTTTTAATAATCAAAATATCATCTAACATCAGCAGATTTCTTTAGGAGAATGTAGACAGTGTTTTGGTTAAGATTACGCAAGAACCAGAAACTGATCCATATCTTTTGTTACAGTCACCTGCCAACGAGGACAGCAACTTGATTGCTAAACGACATGTGAGGGTGCCAAGAGAGGCGGAAGACGACCAAGACGGAGCTGAATCGGCGCCGGAACCAGCAGATGATCTGTCAAACGTTGACGATCAAGACAGGAACAAGAGATACCTACCTTTCGGCGGTAGCGTAGAAGGCCACGCCTCAGGTGGCTCTGGAAATTTCTTGTTTGATATCATCAGGGTAAGCAATGAAGAGAAAGTTTCCGCGTTGAGTCTGTAGTGCATAAAATTTAAAACGGCGCGCCGATAGAAATTTCCGATTCAATTTGGAATTGTGTTCTAAATAAAAGTATAAATTATTGTAGTAATATCTCGAAAAAATTCTTCTGTGTGGAATTAAATAAAAAACTTACTAGTCGTAGTAGATATATTTTTATCTACAATTTATATTATCTCTTTTATACATATTTTATAATAATTGTACAAATAGTTTTCTACGTAATGTGCTTTATTATACACGTAAGTAAAGCTTGAACTCAATAAATATATTTTAAATTGTCAATTAAAATCCTTTTCATTGGCGGTTAGAATATAAAATTTATGTACCGTTATTGATAATTATCACTGCAAATTATAAAGTTTTCTTACCTTACCACAGCGCCACATATTCCATATTCCATTTATTTATGTAAATGAAGCAGAGAGAACGGTATGTAAATTGAGTCGTTTATGTAAAATGTTAGTTAAAGGACATATAATTGTCTGAAGCAAAATCTGTAACATTTGTCATTACCTTGTGTACCTAGTTGTTAAACTTGTCAACGTCATACATTCATGAAATTTTATGTCATCACCATTATTGTATTATTGTTAATAAACACAAGTGCTTGAAGCTTATATTATTTATTACGCACACAAACCTTATGTTCATATGTTTATTTCTAAATACTGTAATTCAATGATCTGTAGCTGTAATAGAATACTTTCCTTCCACTGTAAAGAAAATTGAGGAATTAGTTAATACAAACAGGTAACTTTATTCTATTTTTAATTTGAAGCTTCATTGTACGTGTATGACGTCAGTAACCGGAACATTGGGAAAATCTCTAAATCTCTGTTAGCACACTGATAGGGCGGTATGAATCTAATGATATTTGAAGGAAATGGTAGGTAGAATAATCATTACGAGACTGAGTGGTTTTTCACATATTAGATGATTTTTTATGATTTTATTATTCAACCTATTTTCACCTTGTGGTGTAGCTAAAAAGTTAGTCAAGTCATTATTAAGAATGAAAAAAGAATTGTTGAAAACTGTAATAAGAAATAATCTTTAATATTCCAAAATATATTATATCTCATGAAATGATTAATAAGCGGGGATACGAAGTAGAAAATTATCCTTACTTGAAAAACCACTTTCACGTAAATAATGTTACCTAACCTCAAATTACACCATCGTTGGGGAAATTCATGTTTATGTGGATCAGAACACATCAAATTAATTAAATAAATCAGTAATACGGCACCGAGTGGTCAAGACACCATTCGGTGACGGAAAGCTAGCGTAAGTTCCAGTTTTAAGTAAAACTGAAAGTATATTGGCCTGAAGTAGTTGTGAAATACATCAGTAAGTTTGTTAATATAAAGCTAGTCATACAGGAGAGAGTATCCATACACGTTTCTGCTATCTAACATGCAATTAAGAATTTATCTTTATTATTATTAAGCATGAGCAATAGATTAAAGTTGATGTAATAGTTAAACAACTTAATATTTTCAAATTATAGCCAATTTTCAATAAGAACAATAAATACAATTCGAATACTGTTAGAAACAAATAAATACTGTTTAGATAAAATTTTATGACGAATGGACGTTGTAAATTTTGTAGCGAATTAGTAAAAAAAAAACATCATCATCATCATTTAAATATTAATGGAAATATTTTTCGTACACTTCCCGACAAAATTTGTGACTTGTGAAAAACTGAGAAATATAAAAATTTGTCGTAATCTATTTAATATAGATGGTTACATTTTTAAATTGTTCAGGTACATATCTTTCTTATTTTAAGAGATACAGAAATAGTTAAATAGGCAAAAATGCAGAATTTTATGCCAATCATGGATTTGTTTTTAAATTTAGAAAATTCAGAATAGCTCCGAAGATATTCGAATGAAACCGATTTATATTATTTCTTTCGTATTTCCCTTGTTTTTCAAAATTTTATGACAAAAATGTGTAGGTAGTCTGATATAAAATGATGAGAGGAATCGATTTTTGTCAGTATTAACGTATATCTCTAAAAATTTGTGTTGAACGGTAGTTAACGTTTGTTTTTGTTATGGACGCCATATTAAATGGTGGCCTTATTAGAAGAAAAATGAAATACTTTTTATATTAATGTTTAATTTGTAATTTATGGGGGTTTTATAAATAAATAACCAAGATATTGAATATAATTATAATTTTAATAAAAAAAAGTCAAGTAGTCATTTGAAACATTTGAATTGTTTCTTATTTTTAATACTTTTTATCACAGCAACCTTTATTTACATAACAATAACAAGGGCAACGAAAAAACAGCACAGATAAAGCAAAACGAAATTAAATGGTAAATTTAAATTTTATCACTAATGTTCGAATTACTATTTATACACTACTGCACTCGTTCATAAACGCTCTGAGTAGCAGATTGAGTTATGTCAGGAATAGAAATTTTTATTCTCAATTATTCTTCATTGTCGTAGCGCCTTGTGTATTTGCTAATCCTTATCATAACCATAAAAGAAAAAGTCCGTAATGGTCAAATCAGGACTTCTCGGTGGCCAAGTAACTGGACAACCAAGTAATGGTACATCTTAATGCAAAAATTATACTATCGAAAACTAATTCAGAATTTATCATGAACAATAAAAGAGGAAAATAATTATTCTCATACTTTTATATTCTTTATAACTAGATTCCCACACTAGATATTAACAAACATTCTCACGCTTCACTACAAGCTTTGCTTTTAGACTTTAAGCTTCGTATTTAGAGCTAGACGCCAAATATTCACGTTTTATTATACAACGCAGATAAACGTCGTCACTGAACATTTAATCACATATTATCGGCGTATTTAGTCATGCGGTGTGTGATAAGCCTTACACACGACGTGGTCAGTGCAGAGTTAAAGAATTTAGACGGCTTTCACCGCCTATGCTCCAATATTAAGCCAGTTAATCTACTTGAAATTCATTATTTTAAAACCCACTTTTGGTTACGTTAATTTCTACACTCCAAATTATACGGCCATTACTCTATTGCTTATTCATTCAAATCAAGACCCTTTTTACGTCGAGCATTTCCACATAGAAAAAACATAAACATGTTGAGAAAACGTTACATTCCTTATTTATTTCCATCAAAATATTGCTTCTTTCAAAATGGCAGACAACATAACATACTCCATGAATAAATTACTAAAAAACTAATCTACATATAACTAAACATTTAACATATGTTGTAACCACATTTTGAAACTTTAGTGTTAATATAATCCAAAATTACGTAACTGGTAATAATGTGCTCTTGGGAATTTTTAATTGAAGATTTTCTGACAAAAATTTTGATTCTGTACAGATTTTTCATGTCCACTCTGATTATGTATAAAATACAGGAAGTAGAAAACCCAAAATATTTATTTATATAAACGTCAGTCTTTATTATAATTTGTGTCCCAAAATGACGGAACAAAATTCGTATTTTTTTCCAGTTCAAAATTTAAAAAATCGCTGAAACATGTCAATTAGTAAATAGAAATTGTCACTTTTCTGCAATATTTTCTATTTTTTTGAGCCATGTTCGACAGACCTATAACATTTCCGACAATTTTTTTTTTTTTTAATAGGACGGTCCATATTTTACAGTTATACCTACATTTTTGTCATAATTGTCAAAAAAATGTCGTACTACGACTATTTCAATCATAGTTCTGTACTTTAAAAAACGAATCTACTCTTTTTTAATCTTTTTCTACTTACTTTAATATGTTCTCAAAAAAAAAAACGTTGATAAGCACATAAAATTCACCAGAGTACTTTAGGTATAATGTGAATCGTTTTAGTTCCAATTCATTAGTTGTTAAATTATTTTGAAAAATGGTTTCCCGTTTAAGCAAAAAACAGAACTGAAATTTTAATTATAATTGGATGCGGAGATAAAATCTGTAGTGAACAGGAGGTATGTGACTTATTTCACCATAAGTATCCATACCAGAGAATTAGTCGAGCTACAATAACCAAAAAATTTAAAGAAACCGGAAGTATAAAAGATGTATTTGGATCAGGAAGGCGAAGAACGGTAAGTGAAAATGACCGTCAAAAGGTGATGCTCGCCATTACTGAGAATCCTCATTCATCCATTAGATCTATCTTAGCCAACTTCAACTTATCGAAGTCCTCAATTCACAGAACTCTGAAGTCTCAAAAGTGGCGTCCTTACAAAGTTAAAGTCTTACAAGAACTATGAGTAGATGACACAGACAGAAGATTATAGTTTTGCGAGGAAAATAGAAATTTATTTGAAAGACAACCCAACTTGAAAAACACATAATTTTCACTAACGAAGCAACTTTTTGCTTAAACGGAACCGTGAACAGGCAAAAATGGGTTTGGGAGCCCAGAAAATCCGCATTGGATACAAGAAAAACATACACAATGGCCGGAAAAAGTGAATGCTTGGGCTGGAATAGTAGGAAATCGCATACTGGGACCTTGGCAATTTGACAGGCGACATTTATTTGGATTTTTTGCGTTTTCAGCTGATTCCAGCCTTGGAATTAATTTTTCCTAACCCTAATGAGTACGATATGCCTGCTGGTGATGTCTGGTTCCAATAAGATGGTGTCCCTCCACATTTTCGCCTCGATGTGAGAAATTACTTTAATGAAGTTTTTCTAAATAGATGAATGGGCAGAAGAGGGCCGCTTGAATGGCCACCACGCTCCCCTGACTTAACCCCACTAGATTTTTTTATCTAAAAACTAAAGTGTGAACAGACCGGACACTATCGAAGGATTGAAAAATCGTATCAGAGAAGTTCGAAACATAACACCAAATGTTATTCAAAATGTAACTGATAACTTTGAACACCAAATTGGGCATTGTGCAATGGTTAATGGAGGCCACTTTGAACATTTGCTGTAATAAAATAAAAAGTAGTACTAAATTATTGTATTCATTTAATTCCTCC